TCTACACCTCGAACATGCCCATCATGCTGCAATCCGCTCTTTCCTCGAACATGTTTATGATCTCCCAGCTGGTCTACAGCCGCTTCCCAGAGAACATCCTTGTCCGCATCTTTGGTACCTGGACTCCTTATCAGGGTACTAGCCAGATGATTGCATCCGGCGGTCTTGCCTATTATATGTCGCCTCCTCACAGCATCACCGAGGCCCTCCTGGATCCCATCCACACCGTCGTCTACATCACTTTCATGTTGACTGCCTGCGCCCTCTTGTCCAAGACCTGGATCGAGGTGTCTGGCTCGTCTGCTCGTGATGTTGCAAAGCAGCTTAAGGACCAGAACATGGTCATGGCCGGCCACCGTGATGCCTCAATGTACAAGGAGTTGAAACGCGTCATTCCTACCGCTGCTGCTTTCGGAGGCGCTGTCTTAGGTGCGGTCTCTGTCTTTGCGGATTTGATTGGCGCCATTGGATCGGGTACCGGTATCCTGTTGTGCACCACCATCATCTACCAGTATTGGGAAATGTTTGTCAAGGAGAACATGGAGAATTCTGGCGAAGCCCTCGCTTTTTAAGCTGTGTCAGATGAGTTCCAGGACAAGGAGAGGCGATTAGCAAGTCCAAGAACATGGACGAATTTTCGGTACAGCAGAGACAAAGAGACTCGGATGCAGGGTGAAGACAGATCGGATTGAGGATAGGAAATGCCTCGTTCTTGTTGCCATTGGCAATGCTCCTTGCCGCAGATGCTATCATAGCCGCGATCATATCGTTTATCTTGTAAATAAATTATGGAAAAAAGTATGAATAAGACTGTTTATTCTTCTGGTTGCTACATCCTGCGTCTCAAGAGCTCAAGTTGACTAGGTAGCGAATGAGCAGCTGGAGCGTGTGGATATGAGGACTTGCCTCACCGCTGCTCACAAGATCCGCATAGGTATCCTCCAGACGTCTTTGGACAGTCGGCAGGATCCTTGCCATGTGATCTCCCACCACTGGGTCCTTGGGGTCCAGCCGCATCAAAACCTCCTGCAACCATGTCAGCTTGATTCCAAGATTCTGGCCCAGTTGTTCATTCGCCAGATGATGCGCGAGAGCCAGCAACACAGGCTGGCTCAGCGAACCGCTGGGGTTCGCGGATGTTTGCTGGAATACGGCCCTTGGCGACACCTTCGTGCAAACGTGAAAGACGACGCTGGACTCGTTTGTCGACAGTGCCTGAGTGAATGCGCCCTCAAAATCACCGTACGCAATCAGCTGGTTGATCGCGGCAGTCTGCTTCGATTCTACAGGCGAGGGCTGCTGGGAGGCTCTCCGTGATGCATAGCCAGGGTGGCCCGAGACATCGTCGCCTTGCAGCGCCCTCTGCAGTCCGCTAGCGACGCTCCGCCGCTGCTGATCGAACCGAGGCTGGCTGCCAGAAAATTGATCGGGTTGCGCCTGCACAACCTGAGCAAGATCGGCCTGAATGTTATCTACGGTTGATGCTATCTTGTGTACACTTGACGTCAGCGCCTTGATCAAGTCGTGATCCTTGCTGCTAGCTGATGCTAGATCCTCGATTCCGCTCTGAAAAGCTGCGTGGATTTGCTGGAACATGGCCTGCGTCGCCCTCTGATATGAGGGGATCAAAATCTTGGTAAAGCTGTCCTTGAAGGAGTCTTCTAAGGTGGGGCGTATTGTGGAGGCAATCTGTGTTGTCAAGTCCGTAACAAACGCGGGGTTTCCCATGAGCCGCTCCACGTTCTCGCTCACAGCTGCTTCAACAGCGGAGGGCAATGCCTAGAAACAAACCAAAATCACAAATGCACAAATATCAGCATCCCACGTGGTCATTCCCAGCACTTGTCTCCGATGCCCAAGGTGCATACGGCATGCTTTACCTTGGCCGTGGCATCGTTGATAGTACGTGCAAGCTGGCGCTCAACAGCAGTCCCGACAATCTTATTTAACGAAGGCACAACAGAGTTCTGGATTTCCTTGTGGACAGTCTGAACCAAAAGCTGCTCGGTGTTCTTGGCCAGGGTTTGCGACACCATCTTCAAGACAACCTCCTGTCTCGAGATTTGATCCTGGTCCATTCTTCGATACTGCTGCTCCAGCTCTACGCTCAGCCTCTTCTCAAAGCGTGATGCCATCCTATCCTCCATGGACTGAAGAACTGATTGAAGGTCACCCATGGAAATCGAAACATAGCCACCAGACAAAGTCGAAGGTGTTTGCTCAAGTAAGGGTATGGGTTCAGTCGCTTCCTGATGACGGTTGGAAAGCTGACGCGTATTTCGCCCTATCAACTTCGCTGTTTCGGCTGAAGGTTTAGTCTCTGTAGATGCAGACTGTCCCTTTCTTGCTGAAACACCCTCCTGCTGTGTAGATAGATCTTGGCTCCCTTTCCTGCCCATCCGCCCAGAGACAGGGACCTTGGGCGACTCCTTCTTGTCGGACCCCTCTGCATGTGCTTGGTTGTCTGCTGCAGAGTTGCGTTTCTTCTCCTTGAGCTTCGCGATTGCTCCGTTGATAACAGGTCCATGTAGCTTGAGCGACTTTTCTTGCTCCTTGTCCTGAGTTTCTGCTGAGACGGCGGGCGTGGCGGCGTTCGAATCGGATACGTTCTTCTCAGCCTTAAAAACAGCAGAGGAATCTGCGCCATCATTGCCCTTGACCGATGGCGAGCTAGAGGACTTAGGCATGTTTGTCCTGGCGTTTGCCTTAGGTCTAGATTCCGCAGGCTTGTTCGCAGGCGGCGCAGAGACGAACGTCTGGCACTTGTGCTTATCATGAGGCTCGAGACCTTTAATGGTATACTGCTGCACTGCCTTGGTCTGGATACAATAGACTGAGAAACCATTGTACTCCAGCGACGAATCTGGCATGACCACAAAGCTGACAACAGGCTGAGGCATTGGATACTCAATCATAAAGTCAAATGTCGCTGTGCATGGTGTCTCCTCTGTAGCGGCAGCGGCTCTGATATATGCGGCCTGATCCTGATCCTTTGTCGAGACACTATTGACAGATGCCGACGTAACCTTTATCTGAAGGCCGAAAAGCGAGAGACGAGCACTGTTCGCAAGCACTAGGCTTGAAGTCTCATGATCATATCCCATAATGTTGAACATTCTCATCTCCTGCAGACGCAGAGCAGATTTGCCAACAGATGAACGGCGAGAAGACGAGGGAGGTTCCTTGAAGACAAGTTGATCGAGCGGGTCGGTTCCTGCAACATGCCACAAGCTTAGTTCGGTTCCCCTTCGACAAGCTGTAACAACGCATCGCAAAATGGTGGCACCTGGCTGATCGACGAATATGGCATTCGTCACTCCCAATCCACCATGGGGAACAAATTCATTCAAGAGAGTTGGTTCCAGCGTCGAGGTCTTGAGATCCCAGAACTTGACAGATCCATCCTCGCTAGCGGTGGCAACAACAGAGCCATCGCGAGAAAAGGAGATGTCGTTGATGGTCTGATGTACGTGTAGAAGACAAGGGCTTAATTGTTAGTACTTCTTCTCATTCCACATCAAGGAAAGAGGTGCCATGTCTAATCCCGTATCGTATCATCTTCGCATAGGTCCATACCTGGTCGTGAGCGCGAATAACAAGAGAGTGAGTCAAGAGTTGCGCCTCGCTCATGACTGGAGAGTCGCCCACCTGGGACTTAACAAGATTGTGAATGTTGACAATCAGAACCGAGTGGTCGTCATTGTTGACCAAGGCCAACTGAGACGGATGGACAGGGCTCCAGGCGATACGAGTGTAACGCGGCTGGTCTGACCGAGGCGCTCCAAGCAGCTCCATATATTTGGAATGTACAATGTCCGTAGAGTCTGTGTCAGATCCTGAGAGATCCCAGATGATGAGTCTGCTGTCCTTGCCGACACTGGCCAACAGCTGCATTTTGGACGCATCATGTGCAGCGGAAGAGAAGCCCATGTCGATAACCTGGTCGGTATGACCGCGAAGGAGAGTACGGTGGCCGTGAGACTGCTGGATGACTCGAATCTTGCCTCCTAGAACACGAATTTAATGAGACTGGCAATTAGCTGCTGTGAAGAAGCGTATTGTTTGTAAAAAGGCGGGATAGGAAGTGCTGCACCCACCTTTAGCAGCATAACTGATGTATCCTTTGCTCACAGCAACCATTCTGCCATGATTATACTCGACATCAGTGGGGATGAGAGTGATCGGAGTCGTCTCCAGATCCTCAGAGAAGATTGCGTCCAGGTTATCCAGTCCAATGTCATAGGTTGTAATCGCTGATCTAGGGTGACTTAAGTATACGCCATCAGGAATGCTACAAAGTAAGAGCAGGTGTTAGATTCATGATGCACACTGTTTTTTAAGCAAGTACAATAAAGCCTCATATATTTGTTTTCGGCCATTTGTCATACCTTAAGCTGCCTTTGGCTAATTTCTGCACGCGGTGATTCCAGGCCGAATGAGGAGGGAGCAGCTGATCAAGCTGGTATCGCTTCTGGTCGTCATGAGGATGGTTGCTCCCATCAACTTCCGCATGCGTGGGAGTCTCCCTACGAGGAGCTGGGGCGCTGAATGACGAGCGCTTGGAAGAGGTGCCCGGAGCCACAATATCCTGAGAAGGAGCAGTTGGTGTGCTTGTCCTTGTGTTCGAGGGAGAAGTGGCGTTCCCTGTTGTGGTGGCGGCCGTCGCAGCAGCAGCAGATGCCGAAGGAGCCGCAGGCGTCGCAGAAGCTGTGTTCGATGCATTGGCCGCACTTGCCGTGCTTGTGAACGAATGAAATGGATTCACATAAGTGAATTTTGCTCTCGAGTTCGACTGAGATGTGCTTTCCTTGGCAGCAGGAGATTTGGTACTGCTTTCCCCGATTGATTCCGCACTCTTGACATCTGTGGTCCCTTCCATCTTGATGTCAGTCTGAGGTACTGGCGACGAAGCGCTGGACGACTTCTGAAGCATGGCCAAGAAATTGCTGTAATTGAGGATGATGGTGGCCGTAAATGAAGTTAATATTCGGGATTTGCAAAGATAAAGACTCCTTTGTTCTCATCGTGCTCTTTCTTCAAGTCTTACACTTCTTCTTTCTTTGGACTTGGCTGGAGCTGGGCCAGATCAGGACGCGATCCCTTAAAGAGCGCCAGTTTGAGATCCTCTGTCTTTTGCTGAGCAGTGATTGGTGCATCCTGCTTGGGTGGACCGAATAGCGCTAGCTTGAGACCCTCTGTGCTCGCCTGCAGATCCGCCTGTAGACCTGCCTGAGAGGGAGGTGTGTGTGCTTGAGGCAGAGGCTGCTGGTGTTGTGCGCTAAAGGTCGGTGCGGACGTGTTTGTCGGTGATATTGCTGAAGGCTGGTTGAGACTCTGTAGCAAGGAAGCCAGTGCGTGGCCCTGGGGCGGTGGGCGACTCTGAGGCGGAGGTCCAGGAGGAAACTGGCCAATGGGTGGACCGCACTGCATCATTCGATGCATGTAGTCCTGATGCTGGTCGATCCCTGGTTGACTGTAGCCGAAGCCGGGCATCATTTGACCCATATGGGGCGGTGATGGACCCATATTGTGATAGAAGGGATGCTGTGGCATTGGTGGCGGAGGCACGTTGGCCATGGGCGGTTGCTGATATTGTTGCTGAGACGCGACAGGCTGCTGCTGCTGCTGTCCTTGAGCCTGGGTTTGGCCTTGAACTTGACCTTGGCCATGGAGCATCTCGAGGAGGGATCTGTTTTCGGAGGCCATTTGTCCTAGGTGCGATCCTATACCATCCAACGGCAGAATCAACGAGGTGAAAGAAAAAAAGAGCGTGTGTGGGAATGGGAAGGAGGAAGGGATGGCGAAGGCAAATGAGTGGACAGTGCTCCAGCAGACGAAGTGACGTGTCCGTTTGTTCGTTTGGATATGATCTTTGGAGGATCACCCCCTTGGTGCCTGGGCTTACTCCTACTACTGCACATCCTCCGCTGAAGAGCTCGTATACTGAGATTTACTTCCCGTCGCCTTTCCTTCATTCCTCCTTCATCTGTACCTCTGCTCCATCGCAACTGTTGCCCGATGGAACGCATCGCAGCAGGGACACGTTCAAATGGTACTGCCATCGTGTTTAGCACCGCACTCGTACTGCGTCTAGCCCTCTTTCAATTCCCAACTCTACCAAGCATTCTCGCAGAACGTGTCGAGATATCAACCCCGATCACCAGCTTCAAAAGACGTAAGTCTGTGTTCGGAACCATATCGCCAAATACTATATATCACCACCTTCGTTACCGCCTTCTGAAATCGTAGTCGCTCATCCCTTGACTTATTTCTTGCTTGCAATCCACAATAGTCTCCGAGGGCGTTTTTCTCTATCACAATGGCGTGCCCCCATTTGATGGTGGGGTATTTCATCAGGTACAGGATACATCAAACAAGTCTGTGTGGACCAAATTCTACGTTGAATGCACCGGTTCAAAAAGCTACCTTTGCGTCAATTGACATGGCATTTGATATCAGGCACCGTTGTTGCTAGGACTATTCTACCCTATTATGTCAAGTCCGCTTCTGGTCAACACCCTCTACATTCTCGGCGATCTGGCTGTCGCATATATGTTGCTCCAAATTACAGCAATAAAGGAGCAAGACTCTCTCAACGAGAAAAAGATTCAGCAATACGGGAACAAGATCGAGGAGCCAGGAATGGATGGTCTCACGGTGGCAGCGCTCTATTTGTTCAACCCGTTCACCATCGCCAGCTGTATCGGCAGGAGTACAATCTTGTATTCGAACGTGGCTGTTGTTTCTGGCATATGGATGGGAATGAAACGTAAGGCTATCACTTGGTCACAGGTAGAATGGAAGTGCATTTCATATCCAGACTGACTACCCATCTTTTTGCAAACGATTTAGGCAACAAGATTCTCGCCATGTTCAGTGTCGCGCTGGCAGCATATCTCTCGCTCTATCCTGCCATGCTCATCATCCCAGTCATACTTTTATTGAATCGCGGAGTGGTTGATCGGGATCTGAGAAAAGTACAAATGGATTTATCTCAACTGAGAAAGCACGATTCCTGAGAGGGTACAATGGAGACAGCATCGCTAATATGTTCAGCTTCTCTTCTCTCTTCATAGCGGACTGTGATCCAATCCGCAACGGTTTTCGCAGTATCCTTGGCGTCACTCTTCGTACTCTCCTTTGTGCTTGTGAACTCGTGGGACTTTTTCGCTAGTGTATACGGCACCATGTAAGCGCGATCTATGCTCATGCAAAGCAATAGACATACGTAGGTCTATGATGCAAGCCAATTGACTTTTTCTTTACCATCAAAGCTTGTCGGTCAGCGATTTAACACCGAATCTGGGGCTGTTTTGGTACTTCTTCATCGAGATGTTTGACCAGTTCAGGCCATTCTTCCTGGTCGTGTTCCAAATCCATGTCTTTATCTTTGCCGTCCCTATCTCCATCAAGCTACGGTTAGAACAAATATCATGTTATACGTTTCCAAGGCGTGCTTCAACTTGTAGAATCGCTCTCTGACATAACCCTTCTATTCTTTATTGGATATAGACATCATCCTCTTTTCGCGTCCTTCCTACTGTGTACGATCATGGGAACATTCAAGGGCTATCCCTCTGTCGGAGACGCTTCGCTTTATCTCGGCTTGCTACCTCTGTGTTCTGAAATTTTCAAATGTAAGATCGACTTAAGATCACTCAGATACAGTTGATACGCGTTTGGACACTCACTAACAAAGCCCTATACGCCTCTTAGACATGCGATACATGTTCCTTATCGTCAATCTATTCCTTTATTCATCACTCCTGGCACCCATTTTTTGGTATCTTTGGGTCTATGTTGGCAGCGGAAACGCCAATTTTTTCTATGCGATCGGACTGGTCTACGGTATTGGTGAAATCATCCTCATGATCGATACGACGTTCGCGGTATCACGGCGCGCCTTTGAGGCCCTGTTGCCGCCAGAAACATCTGGTGAAGCAGCCTTTAGCGGCTGGGATCGCGATGTGGTCCAAAAATAATTTGACTAAAAAAATAAACATACGTATTAGTACAGTCCGCCTTGGCCGAATTTTTTATTCTACCAACTTAGTAGATACATCAAAACTTTATGCATGAGTGCGTGCCTGAGTGGGAGAGAGAAAAAACCCCCCCCCCCCCCCCCATCGCCATCTTCCATCCTCATTCCCAACCCCCCATCCCGAGTCCACTATGCCCAATACCAAAGCCAAAGCGAAGAATTCAAGAGCAATCACAACAACGACAATAACCACGATAGTAACGACAACAGTAACATCACCCAAACCTCCTGCAAAGAGAGGCCTGGCGACTAACGCCAAGACGATAAGGCCCTCAGCAACCTCAGCTTCTGGACCATCTACCGATAAGAGACAACGCAGATTTATTTCGCTAAGCTTGAAAGCAGACTTCATCAAGGATGTATTGGCTGAACAAGAACTGGATCCACGATTTCCAGCAGCCTCCGTTGGCAGGAGGCAAAAATACAACTTCACTCGTGCAGAGATTTCTCGCATGATCCGGGATGCAGACGATACCCCTCGTAAGGTCCAGGAGGCAAGCCATCGGAACCCAGTGAAGATCTCCAGGATATACCCACGGAAGATGGAGGTTATCGAAAAAGTGCTTTACTCTCAACTCAAGAATGAGATTGACTCTAGTAGGTATATGTGCTTATCATCTTCCTTTGCCTCAATTCAGGCAGGTTAAATGCAATTTACCTCCCCCCCTTACAGATATCCCTGTGAACGATAGCCGACTTAGGGAAATGGCCCTACAGACATACGTAGAAATGATGCCCCTTTTGGACCCTGACATGGCGCCAGAGCTGATTGACTTCTCAGATGATTGGCTCAAAGACGCTTTGAACCTGTGTCGCGCTGTATCTTCTTATAGAAAGAGGGATGTGGTGCTATCCACCGGCGTCCAGCCTGCACAGTCGCTTAGTCGCAGTATTGCTGTAATTGTGAGAGATGGGCTTGATCTATTGAGCAACGCGATGGTACTGGAAGAGGGACTAGATTGGCAAGGCACTGTTGAGGTGTCTGATACCGAGCCGGAGGAGAAGCAATAAATTTTTGATTTATCTACTGAGTTAACAGAATATAAAAATTCGGATTAAGAGCCAAGGTGTATCTTAATCCGGATGTGGACTGCACAGCATTTTTTTTATCTGTAATTTTGGTGGCAACGCGCATCGCGCAACAGTGACGGACTGTTTGTTTAATTCAAACACTTCTGGCCCGTTGAGATTCAGACACTTTTTTTGATGAACTCGCCATGGCCACCTTTGACGATGCATTGACACACTTCAGCAACCTGCTTCACTGTCCACTATGGTAAGTCATTTCGAACGCGAGGGCTCTTGCTACCTAACATGAAAATACATTAAACGGAATCGTCTACTCCATTGCTACTACAGTGAAAACGAACTGCAGTCCACACATACGGTCAAGGAGTGCGGCCATCACTTTTGCGAGTATGGCAGCCTGCTACAGCAAATGATCAGAGATTGGAAACACACGTTCGCCGACAATTAATCGTCGCACCTTCACCCGTTTTTAACAGGGAATGCATTTATCCCATACTGGGATCGTTATGCAAGTGTCCAACGTGCTCTATTCCAGCTCGAGTTGGCAATCTGATTCGAAATCCATCGTACGATATTTTGGTGGCATGCTCAACCAAACTGCGCTCTATTCGCCAGGAACAAGCGAGAAGTAGGCCTTTATTCCTATCACGAAGCAATACCGACATAGTTCAACAGGATTCATTAGCTAATCCTTCACGTCGTGTTCCATGCTTGTGTGACAGCTGAACAGCAATCGCAACAAGGACCTCAGGAGGCGAACAGCGCAGACGACCTAGAGGGCGGTACACCTATTGGTTCTGTCATCTGGACCTACGACTGCGGTCCTACATTCCTAAACCCGAGTTCACTCAGTTCGTCATCATCGTCCAATATCCAGATGCAGACGTTTCCATCCCTTAATGCTGCCATGGTGAGCCACGGACGGGAGCAAGCTGTGCGACGGAGAAAAATAGTCCAGGCCTCAAACCAACAGACTAATAGCGGATCCGGACATAGTTCTGCAACGAACAAACATGACATCAGCGCGGATGGTCAGCAGCCAATACCACAGCCAAATTCGCAACCACCATCTCCGCCGACCATTTCTCAACTCCAGCAACTCTTGAACATTTGTAAAGAAAAGAATGCTGCGAATGAACCGCGACAAAACGTAGCATCAGCTCAGTCATCTTTATCAGAGGTTCCTGCGATAGCGCCGTCTTTAGATGAAGTAAAGAACCTAATTCATTTTTTTTTTTTTTTAAAAAAAAAAAACGCGTCTATGAATTTTTCCCAATATCCTAACATCCTTCTACTTTCCATATCGATGTATCTCAGGTCGTCTCGTTTGCTACACCTCGTATGCCATCTCTGTCCTTTCAGGCCCCTCAGTCCTCGATTGGGTCGTTTCAACCTCCAAACGGATATGGGACTGCACAGGGCGATGGGTTCGAGACAGCAGATCGACCATACAGGAAACGCCGTATGCCAATGGAACAAGAACAATCAGAAGACTTTGATTCGTCAAACAGCAAGCCTTCAGTGGATCAGACATTGGAACGGGGCAATAATGAGGCGACATCACGAAGTGGCGGTAACGAAAAGCACGCTGACTCTACAGAATATCAAGACAATGTAGGTCAAGTAATAGAGTCTTCCCATCCTTCAAGTGAAGCAGCGCTCCCTTTGATGCAATACTCCCATCGGACGAAATAAACGACAAAACCGCTATAGCTCACATTACTATAGAAAAAACCGCAGTATCAGTGGGTCAGAAATCAGAAATAATTTTTTGATTTTTGACCTGATGGTTCAACACGTATATCACCTAAAAAACCGTTGATACTACTAGGTGTCGAAGTAGTTGAAGGTATACACCAACTCGTTAGGGTTGATATATAACCAGCTGCGAGTTCGAGGGTTCTTTTTTTGCAATGATGAATGGGAAGCAAGGGCGTTGACGAAGTGTTCATTCGATGGGAGGGGGGAGAGGGGAGGGGGCATGCAATGAACCACATAGCAACATAGCAATGTAGCAATAGCTAACTTCTTTTCAAGTATGGCCGAGTATTATCTAGCAACATAGCAATAGTATATCTCAAGTTTTAAATCGCGTGTTCCTCTAGGCATTCTCCTCCTGCTTCTCCTCGTCCTCCAGCTGCGGATCTGGCTGCCCCAGCTGCCCTATACCCTTAGCGACGTTCAAGTAATACCTGTTTAAGGTCATGATCCTCAGTTGATCCTCCACGACTTGCAAGGCTGACTCCTCCCTTGCCTCCAACGTCGCCCCTTCGCTGTTTAGTATCAAATCCAAGATGGAGTACACGATTGTCTTCTTGAACGAGAATGTTTTCGCCAGTGTGTTACCATGCCCTTCGCGCCGTTTGGATTTAAACGTCTTATTCAAGATCTAAAGTGATGGCCGCCCGTCTACGCCCCTGAACCGTTCATCCCACTGTCGTTGCAGTGGTTCATTGCGCGGCAGCATTGTAACGTCGACGAGATCCACACTATTAGGTGGATAGTGTACATACCGGGACCCTAACTCTTCTTCGAGCACCATCCGTCTCTCCTTCAAGGACTGCTGTCTAGGAGCTGCTGGGGCTGCTGAGGCTGCTGGAGCTGCTGGAGCTACTGAAGCTACTGGTGCTGTTGGCGCTACAGGCGGAATCTGTTGCTCCTGCTGCTGCTGCTGCTCCTACTCTTCCTGCTGCTGCTGTCGCCGATGCTCGAGTGACATCTGAGTCGCCGTATTGCCAAATACCAGGCTGGCATTCTTTGCGATATCGTGGAGCGCATGTGTTATGGATATCATCTGGTGGCCGAGTCCTTTATATTTGGCGTTTGATTGATCGAGTCCCTTTCGAATATGTACCTCTAGTGATGCCAGGGGGGTTTTTATGGAGCGAAACTCTTGCTAGATAGCTGGCGCATTATGGGCTAGACTGTCAGATAGAGGTGATTTTGCCGTTCGCATGCTCTCCTGTAACTGCGAGCTGAATTTCTGGAGCAACGTGGATGCGAAAACCGGCTATTTGGTGAAGACATTTTATTGACCGTACAGACATAATGGGTCGTCTGTAGTATACAGTGACAATAATATTTGAGTCAATGTTTTTTATCTCGGCATAATTTTTTTAATTTCTTCGCCTGTACGTGCCGTAGGATGCTATAATGCTTTTCAAAGATGGCGAAGTCATCTAGGAATATCATTTAGGCGTTTCAGGCGTAATGGATATCTCTATCTTCCTTTATCGCACATCTTGCGGTAGCGGTGTATTGACTCAATTCCTCCTGCACGTGCTAAAAAATATAGTATTCTCTAATTCTCGCTCAAATCTAATGATAACCCTTCACTTTCTATTCCTAGTACTTGGTGTGTCGTCCGCCGGCCGCTTTGACCGCTTGGATGCGTCGCGGCATACTGGATATGAGCGCCTGGATCAGCGACGGATCAATTTTATTCCAAACTTCTTGGACACGCTCCCAGAGCTTCGGGATACCGCCAGGAGGGTGTTCATACTTCGCAAGAAGCCTCTTTAGGTGCCCCAGAGATGCTCGATAGGATTCAAGTCCGGAGAGTTGGGTGGCCACATGAGAACCACGTAATCATTGTCCTCAAAGAATTGGCGTTGTCACGAACCTATGTGTAATAGCTCTAGGCAGTCGAGGGCAGGGGTAAGGATGGAAAGGGTTGGAATGCGTGCTGTATTAAGATGGCAACTAGCTGGTCTATATATCTATGTCTACGGTCCGGTTCCGGCCCGGCCGGTTGTCTATAGCCGAGGCCCCAGTCCTTTCGGAGTCGGGGCTATAAGCGGGGTTATCCTGTTACACCTTCCCATTAAAAAAAATAATTTTACAGTCTATGCTGTTTCTTGTACTGCCGTAAAAGTCGCGCACAGTTGGTCATATTGCTCTCTGGTTCCCATGTGGAGTCCTCCCTTGCATATCCTTGCCACTTGACCAGGTACTCCACGCGATTGTTGTTGTTTCGATGCTCCATGATCGTCTCAGCCTCGTATTCTTCCTCGCCATCAATGATCTCTGGTGCTGGCCTCGCATGTGCACGTCGGCCGAATGTCACCGGTGAAGGTAAGTAGGGTCGAAAGCGGTCAACGTGGAATATATCGTGTATCTTCATGGCCGGGGGTAGCTCAATGCGGAAAGAGACCGGTGAGTGCTGTTCCAGGATGGTATAAGGTCCGATGAAGCGTGCCTGCAACTTCTTGGTGGGGCGATTCCTGTCAGCAGCAACAGTGATGTCTTCTGTACTCAGCAGCACCTGGTCTCCAACTTTGAAATCGTGATCACGGCGACGAGAATCCGCATTCTTGGTCTGCCGTTCCTGAGCATCTGCGATGGCCTCTTGCGCGAGGACTAATGCTGTGCTCTGTGCCTCTACGAATTCCATGACACTGGGATTGGGACTGGGCTGAGGTTGTAGCAGAGACGACGGTACGCGTGGGTGAAATCCCAGGTTCAAAAAAAATGGGGACTGGCCAGTGGTGGCATTGCTGGAGTTGTTGTAGGCGAACTCAGCGGCGGATAGGAGTAGATCCCAGTTTGTCTGTCGCTGGTCCACGAAGGCGCGTAAAATGGACTCCAGTGTCTGGTTGGCACGCTCGGTCTGTCCATCGGTCTGAGGGTGGAAGGCGGTCGACATGGCCAGCTTGACGTCCATGAGGCGGTGCAGCTCCTTCCAAAAACGACTGGTGAACTTAGTGTCGCGATCAGAGACGATCGAGGTCGGCATGCCGTGCAAGCGAAAGACGTTGTCAAAGAACTGTCGAGCTACGTCGGATGCTGTGTCGGTGGTGTGGGCTGGGACGAAGTGGACCTGCTTTGACAGTTTGTCGACGAAGACCGTGATGGAGTCATAGCCGCGAGGAGTCTTGGGTAGCTTGACAATAAAATCCATCGTCACCGTCTCCCATCGCTGAGTAGAGATCTCGAGGGGCTGGAGTAGACCGGCAGGTCGCTGGTGGCTGGGCTTGTTCCGTTGGCAACTCTCACAGGTTTGCACGTACTGCCGGGTGTCACGTGCGATGTGAGGCCAGTACACAGTGCGACGGAGTGCATCGTATGTCTTGTCGAAACCAAGGTGGCCGGCGATGGCGGAGTCGTGGGCATCGTGAAGAAGAGAGAGACGAATGTCAGATTTCTGGGGGATGCAGACAAGGTTGTCTCCTCTGCGATCAACACAAAGAAGACCATCAATCAAGCGGTAACGCGGTGGTGTACTTCCCTCGAGGCAGCTTTCATAGATGGGACCGAGCTTGGGGTCGTCCCGGTAGCTGTCTACAAGGCGCTGCCTCAAACCTGAATCCAGCTGAACGGTCATTGAGTTGATGTTGACTGCAGGGGGGTCTTGGTCATGATGGTCCGGTCGTCGCGATAGAGCGTCGGGAACGATATTGTCGACTCCACGTTTGTACTTGAAGTCGAAGTCGTACTCCTGCAGCAACTCCATCCATCGTGCCTGGCGTCTAGTTAACTTGGGTTGGGTTGGGAAGTGCT